ATGGTATTTGTATATGCACCACTTCTGGGCCTGCTCCAAATTCTCTAAGTCCATAAGAGTCTTTCTGTTGACTTCAGAGGGCTACAGGTAACAGTAGTGCTATGAGCTTAATTCTCCACTGTCGTTGTTACTGTATGTTGTCATTTACACCTGGGCAAATCATGTATAAAACACCAGCAGCTGACGGTGATAGCAGTTTATGGCCACTTCACAGATGCCAATGCAAGGTACAATGCAGAGAAGAATTAGTTCCCATAGGTGTGACTCCATGCTTCAACTCTGCTCTGTGTATCAGTGCAAGGCTAAATGATGAAATAGGACCATGTATCCATTGGTCAAACCATTTTGACCAAGAGCAGTTACTTCCAGAGATGACAATCAGCAGAAATGAGTTGGCTTAAACCAGTCAAAAAGTTCTAGCATTCCTTATTTGGGGGAAAATTATCTCTTCTAAATTATTTTTAATAATGCTAATAAAAATTGATCCATACATGGAATCAAAAATTTCTCTGAAAACCAGCTTCGGTTGACATGTTTGTTATTTCCTGAAACCATGTCAACATTCAGACTCTTGAATGTGGCTTATGCTGCTAATGGAGAAGACTTTGAAAATCCTGTTAATCTACAGTGTGCCTTATGACTGGAATTCAGGAGATCTGAGTGCAATGCCATGACACTGTAGAAACCGTTGAGGATGATGGGAGGCTGCAAGATAAGCACAAGAAAGGTCCTCACCAAACAGCAACTGCTAGGCTCAAATATGCTAACCCACACATATGGGAATATCCAAGTTCCAGACTGTACCACACAAACCATAACAGGAATGAAGCCAAATTAATTTCAACAGGCTCAGAACTGATATTGCCTCCAGTGGGGTTTTTTTCTCTCTCTCCAAGTACTCCAATGCTGTTTACTCCTGTTTAACTAGAAATTCATGTTTTAATGATTTAATTTCTGTATGAATAATTCATGGTGCTTGTAACCAAATTTGCAATGGCAAAATGTCTCACTGTCAGGGATAACAATAATATTGTACTGACACCTTTTTTGCTGTAAAAGTAAAAGCCAGCTTTGAAGAGTGAACTGATGAAGGTAAGTTCCATCATAAGAAAGGGACCTGAACTGGAGACGCACAAGGTTCAGGAGCATTGTGCTGACTTGTTTTATTGTTAAATTATGAATAGTGTCATAAGAAAATGTTGTCATGAAGGTTTCCCTTTACCTTCTTCCCTTTGCCATCCCAGAATTTTTTGCTTCTATTAAATAATTAGAAATCAAAAGTTAGTTGAACTTAAACTTGTGTGTGTTCATTCATTAGACACACTAGACTCTGTGATCACTTTGGCTCAGACTTCAAAATAAACTCTGTGTCAGATGTGAGCACTTCAGTTCTGGGTACTGCTGATCCATACAATAAATATGAAATAAAACCATCCCTAATTATTAGGCCTGTGCCTTATTTTAGATTCAGATTTATCTCTATAGATGAGATCTTACTTCTCCTTTTCATTTTTTATTTTTACCCTATTAAAGCTGAAGGTTATGATGAATGTTTTTAGAACCTATAGACAGTATTCCAACTCAGTTTGTCACCTGGATTATAACAACACTTTCCTTTTATGTCCTCAACCTTTGGTCTTTGTCCAACATATACACCACAAAAGTAAAGTCTCCCTCTCTCTCTCACTCTCCACCCCCACCTCCCTCCCTCTGCACCATCCTCACCTTCCCCTACCCCCATCTATTTATCATTAGGAGATTGAGCATATTCTAGAATTGAACAATATATGCAAAGAAAAGCTTTATATTCAATTGTATTATATTGTGCTGTTGCAGAAGTTGGCTTTGCATTCTGCTCTAAATATGCAGAGGTTTTTGGTCACCCTGATCACTTGGGATTTGTGTTCAGAGTCAGTGTCCTGAACAGTGGAAGATGACTGTTCCATGGGTCCAGTGCAATGCAGCTGTCATAATCACAATCCCACAACAGGAGGGATTCTTGTTGAGAAATTCAAGATAGCCTTATAGGGTGCGTCCAGACGTGCATGGACGTTTGGTTCCCCGGGACAAGTAGCAGTGGTCCACCTTGTGCTGCAGCTACTTGTCCCCAGGGAACACCTGTGCCACATACACTTTGGTGCACAGCAAGTTACCCCAGGGGCAATAGGAGAGGCCAGGGCCAGCACTGTGCAGCCTAACCTGGAGGCCTCCCGGGGTTGTAGCCACAGCGATCCTGCCAGGTGGAGTCTAGGGGTGGCCTAGTGGGTGGCCACTCCACTTTTCAGCAGCGCATGCTATCCAAGCGTGTGCTGCTTCATATTTTTTCCTGCAGTTTTTTTTTTTTTTCACTCCTGGATATCCTGCAGTCAAAAAAAACCCTCAGAAAAAAAACCCCAGAGCAGCACACGGTCGGACAACATGCCCTTGCAGTGAGGAGAACACTGGACTGTGCGGTATGTGGCAGCGCAAATGTGTTTGCAGTGCCACATACCTCATGACTGCGCTCCTCTGGACATGCCCATAGGGCGCATCCTCACGAGTAGGAATGTACTTTCCCTGGGAACAACTAGCAACAGCACTTATTTGTGCCATTGCTAGTTGTCCCCAGGGAATGCCCCTGCATGTGCACTCTGGCACATGGCAAGTTGCCGTGGGTTAGGCAGGGGAGGCTAGGGCCAGCACCTAGGTCCTAGGGCCCTCCCAGAGCTCTAGCAGCAGCGATTTCGGGCACACGGAGTCTGGCTGGCAGCCGGAGCATGCTGGCTCATGTTTTGGGCAGCACATGCTGCTGCCACATGTGCCACCCTACTTTTTTCTGGCATGGGTTTTGGTTTTTTTTACACTGGGAAATTAGCAGCGTGGCGAATGCCTGCGTGTGTGGCACCACAGACCACACATGCACACCCATCTGGATGTACCCATAGAAGGCTTTGAAGATAAGGGCCAAAACTTTTAATTTGTCAGGGAACTAGTGAAGAAAGCAGAGCACTGTAGTGGTATGTTTTTACCAAGATCTGTATATGCTGTGGGGCTGGGCTGCTGTATTCTGAATTACAGTTTAAGGTCCATGACTTCATACCTACATACACAGCTTTACAAAGCTTTATAAATAGTCAAGGCTGATGGCTGCTAGTCTATGGATCTCTTTGACAAGGCCTGACTCAGACAGGACAAGGCCTCTGCCTCAGGCCTTAATTCTTGCTGGTTCCCAGGGATAATAGGAACTGTCTCTCTCATGTGATTTCTCGCATGCCAAGGGGCAATTTTTTGTTTGGAGCTGCTGGTTCTGTGACTGAGGGGATGCATAGACCCTCAGATCACAAGGATGATTTCACTAGATTCTTCGTACCTCTCTGCTAAAGTTCGCCCCCTCCCTGCTCTGTTCTGGCACAATTCATCGGAGAGCTAACGAGGGAGATACACAGAGTGGACACCTTGGTGTCTGAGGTCCAATGGTCATGGTTAACAAGAAGTTATGTGGGAGCAGGAGCAGGGTGTAATTGGGTTCTCTGTCTCATGGTCTTGTGATGGGGAGGGCTGACCTTCAAGGCTATCTTTGACTCAGTCTGTGAGTTTCTGGGACATTATTACAGAGGATTCGGGACTTGTGCCCAGCACTTTAGAAAATTATTATTGCTCTAATCTACAGTGACTTCAAGCCTTGTTAAAAATATACCCTAAAACTGTAGATGTCTGCTGCTGTCTGTCATTATAACTTTTTACGTGAGTGTTTACACTGCAGCAACTCTTCAATTAGAACTGTGACGCTCAACTTTTTGGTCCTGTGGGCTGGTTGAGTAGCACGGGACAGTCTGCTAGCTAAATCCTGTGCATGGGGACTGTCTGCAGGTCTGATCCAGTCCTAGGTTGGTGTAGGGGTCAGTCCCTGGGTGCAGTCTGGCTTACTGACCTGGCCCTGCACACTGGATCCAGCCACGCACACCAGCCTGATACCGTGCACAGCCAGATCTTGTGTGCTGGGCCTGGTTGCATGTCAGCTCAACCCTACATGCCATTCAACCCCATGTGCTAGATCCAGCTGAGAAATGACCCTACATGCCAGCATGATCTAGCACACAGGGCCACATCATCTGGCCATGAGGGTTCCCCCTGAGTTTGGAAATTTGGTGGCAGGCAAGATGGAAGTAACACTACTACCACTCCCCCGCTGTTACATATTCAGACCCATAAGGAGACCCATGGCCCAGAGGTTGGACGCCATTGAGTTCAAATCATTGCACTGTGGTGTGATGTCTGCTTTAACAATGTGAGATGTGCTGGAAATGAAATGGACTTAGTTTCATAGCTGGTAGGGTCGGAAGGGACCTGAGCAGATCATCAAGTCTGACCCCTTGCCATGGGCAGGAAAGAGTACTGGGGTCAAATGACCTTGACTAGGTGATTGTCTAGCCTCCTTTTGAGGACCCCCAGGGTAGGAGCGAGTACCACTTCCCTTGGAAGTTGGTTCCAGATGCTAGCTGCCCTGACTGTGAAGTAGTGCCTCCTGATACCTAGCCTGAACCTACTGTCAGTCATCTTGTGGCCGTTATTCCTTGTTACTCCTGGTAGTGCTCAGAGGAACAGGGACTCTCCTGTTCCCCGCAGGTCCCCCCTGGTAAGTTTATAGACAGCCACCAGATCCTCCCCTCTCATCTTCTCTTGTGAAGGTTGACCCGGTTCAGGTCCTGTAGCCTCTCCTCCTAGGGCCTGCCCTGCTGCCCCCTAATCATGGCCCTCC